TATTTTTTAGATATGAAGTATAATTAGTAATAATTGAATTATTTTGATCTTTTTTATTTTAAAATTTTATTAAAGTGTACTCTTTTCTAGTAATTTCGTTTAAAGTTAAATCAATTTCTTAAAATTATTTTTTAGTAGTTTAAATTTATTAATAGGATAAACTATTAAAAGAAAACGAGTTATTTATATTATTATTTTTCTTAATAAAGCTTAATTACATTTATTATTTACTTCCGTTTTTTCGCAATTAATCACTTAACATTTAATGCATTGGTAAAAATTTTTACTTTCCTTTTAAGGACTATATTTATGATTTAATTATTTTTTCAAATTTTTATTTTTTTACTTTTAATTATGGATATGAAAATTTCTTATAATTTGGAAGTGCAATATTAAATTCATTACTTTTTTTATTTGCTTTGCTTTATTAATGCTACATTTTTTTCATTTTTTTTTCTTTTGCTAAACTTAAACTCATGTTATTTTTTTTATTATATTTTTTATAATTTAATTATCTTATTATTGTGGTTTATATTATTAAATAATAATTTTAATAAAATATGATGAATATATAAAAAAATGTAAATATATTTATTAACTATTTTAAAAAATAGAAATTACTAAAAAAAAAAATAGTATAAATCAATTATTATAAAAACAAATTATTTTTTTTTCTAGACAAAAAAAATAAATAAAAGAAATAAACAAAATAATAAAAATGGATTAATAAAATCATTTTAATTATTTATTTTAGTAAAGTATATATATATAAATTTAAAATATATTTATTAAAAAGCCTTTAAAAAATAAATAGATATTGACTAAAACCAATTTTATAATCCATATCCACCATTTTAATAATAATTTCAACAACAGCCATATTTTCAATAGCAATAATATGCCCAAATGCATAACTAATTGTAATTAATAACCAATTTATAATTTTCAGATACTTTACAAATTCCAGGAATAATGGACCCAAAAGAAAAACGCGAAACATAAAAAAAGGAAAAAATGATTGCCCATTACATCCAATTACAAAATCAAAAAATTGCAGGTAAAATATAATATAAAAAAAATTAAAAGAATTAAAAAAAAAAGATAATGTAAAAAAGCTTAAGAAAAATATGAAGAAAAAAACATGTAAGAAAGATTAACATAATTAAAAGAACAAGAAAACGATTAAGAATGCGAATTAATAGAATATCAACCTACCGGAGAAAAAGGCGATAATATATTTCAAATATGGGGAGACGAAACATCGGGTAATATAAATCCAAAATTAAGAACAAATATAATGAATTGTTCGTATTTTAGAATTGATTTATTTAGTTTAAAAACATATCATGAAGTAATCGAAGAAATCCAAAAAAATGTCAATCATGCAGAACCCTGGGCTAGGGGAGCTACAGGAGTTCCTTCTTCGATGTTTTGCTGTTTATATAAATTTATGTTAATGAAACTTACAGTTAAATAGGTAAGAGGTTTAGTTGAATATAAATTTTCTCCTATGGTAAGGGCTGCAGGTTTTTTATATATTAGATTTTGTTGTGATCCCAAATATATGTTTGCTTGGTTTAAAAAATATTTATTAGATGATGAGGGTATATTTAATAAAATAGATAATTTATTTATTTTTGTAAAAAAGATTTTAAACCTGGTGCTGATAAAAATTCACCAAGTATGACTATAGGAGATTATGTGGAAGGACTTTTAAATAATCAGGAATATTATAATACAAGATTGCCTAGAATTCCAACAAAATATGAGACAAAATTAAAGGCCAAATTAATTATTAATTAAGAAAAAAGAAACAGAAAAAAAAGAAATCTAGATTCACTCGATTATTTTACTAAAGAAAGAAAAGTTAAAGCAATTTCTAGATAAGATGAGGAATGGCACGAAGGAATCGTCGAAAAAGTTGAAGGAAAACTAATTATGGTTAGGTTTATTCCTAATAGTATATATTTTTTATATTTTAAAATAAATATAAAATAATATAAGGAGAAATGAATTTCGAAGGATGTAATGAACTTGTAAATTTAGGAGAAATTGAACTATTAGGCTAAAATGAATATGAAGATAATAAGAAAATTGAAAATAAAAAATAATCTAAAAGTAAAAGTAAAAGTGTAAGGAAATCTCAATCAAGAAGTAGATCTAAAAAAAGAAGCTCAAGCAAGAAGAGGAAACACAAAAAATAAAAAAACACAAGTCATTTGCATAAGAGAAGTAAAAAAATATCCAAAAGAAGTCGCTCTTATAAAAGAGAAAGAAGAAGTCGATCAAATTCAAACAAAAGAATAAGAAAGTATTAAAAATAAAAAAATATGTTTAAATGTATTCATAATTAATATTCTTTCTTTAAAAAAAGATAAGAAACTATGAGAGAGAGAGAACAAAGACTTGAAAAGTAAATTATTTAAGAAAATGCAAATAAAGCTGTTGCTTATAGCAAAAGTGATGTTGCGAGAATACCTTAAAGTTATAAAACTTCATTAAGTGGAAATCATCCTAAAGGATCTCTTATAAATAGATTGTAATATTAAAATATAAATTTATATTAAATAATAAAAAAGGCCTTCTCCTACTAAAAAAGAAGAGTTTGTGGAAACTATTATACCAAGTGTTATTGAAAATAGATAAAAAAAAAAAGAAGATGATGCTAAAAATAAACCTTAACCAAGCGAAAAGTAACTTTAAAACACAAGATAAGTTATGGAAATTTACGGAGATGCATCTACAAAAGGGTAAATTATTACTTATAATAAGTAAGCTAGGGATTATGCATGAAATATTTTTTCGTAAAAAATATATATATATAAATGTATTAATAATCTAATTTTTATTTTAATAATTAAAAATAATAATATTTTTAAATTTGCTAATTACGTAAATGATTTTATATTTTAATTTATATTGATATATAAATATTTTATTTTAAATTTAAATAAAAAAACTTTAAAATTAATAAAATATGCCTTTTAATTAACATATAACATTTTTTAGAAAAAATAAAAAATTATTTTTTTATTTTTCTATAAAATTTCATTTAGAAATATAAGTATTTAAATTCATATTAATGTTAGACCAAAACTATTGAATTAATAATTTAGCTGTATCATAATTATCTACAGGCCTAACTAAATTTATTTAAGCACCAGGATAAAGCTTTTTGAATACATCGTAATAGTTTCCTAATTTATCTACAAGCCTTTTTTTAAAAAAATTAATTTATAATTTATTTTCATTTTTAAAAATAACCCATATTCTACTGCTTATTATCCTGAATAAATTTCTCCTTTCAAAAAATTGTTTTGATATTCTTCTTGACTTAGTTTAATTTTTGTTTATCTTAAGTTTTCGAAAATTTAGACTAATTATTTTTCATTTTCTTAATTTAAATTATTGAAGAAAGTATTATCTTCCTCTTGAATTTTTGAAAAAACTTCTGTGCGATGACTATATGTTTATCTTTTTTTATTATTTTTATTTTTTTTAATAATTTTTAAATTTTTTACTATGATGTTTTAAATTAATTCACTGTTAAGCCTAATCTATTTACTAATTGATCATGTATTTTTAAATTTTATTATTTTATTCCAAAATTTCCAACTAAAGAAATTGGATCGCAATAAGATTCTTTTCCTTTATATTTTTTTTTTAAACATAAATAAATAAAGGAAATTAGCTTATTTTTAATGTAAAATTACCTGAACATAATAATAAATATCCTGCTAAATAAGCTTTTTCTTCAGCAAATGTATAAACTGGAATATTATTTTCTTTCTAAAATACTTCTAAATACTTTGCTATTTCATATGCTTAAGCATATAATCCGCCTTTTGTTATTCAAAAAAATAAAAATATAAAATTTCATTTAAAAAGAAATAAAAAAACTTTCGAATGATAATAATAAGCCAATAGCGATACTTTTATTTTATACTTTTTTAAAGCATTTTTAAATTTAGCTTAAACTAATGTATTATTTATAATAATTAATATATTTAATTTATTATTTTTTTAAAAAAAAATTAAACGTTAATTAATCTAATTAATCAATTCTTAATACTGAAACTTATGGCTTTGTCTTTCTTAAAGAAACTAATTACTTTGCAATTTTTTCAATATAATTCATTTATTTATTTTTTTATGGCTAAATAAATTAAAAACAAAAATATTATAAATATTAATTTTTTTAAAGAAAAAATATCTTATAAAAAATTAAATAATTTTTTTATTTTTTTAAATTAATAAATGAATAAAAAAATTAACTTAATTTTATTATTATATTTCTTTTAATTTGAATCATAATATATCTAATTATAACAACTATTTTTTAAACAAATAATTTATTTTAAAAAATGAAAATATAAAATAGCATTTAAAGAAATAATTTAAATCTAAAAAATAAAAAAACAAATAGTAAATTTTAAAAAGGCATAACTATTAAAAAAAAATTAAAAAGATGAATTAAAAATATTATAATAAATAACAAATAATACAAAAGTAATATAACAATGGTTTAGAAAATATTTAGCAAATAAATAAATGAAAAAACTAAATACACAAAACGAATTTGATGAGATATAATTTTAAAAAATTTATTAATTTAGTTAAAAAAACTAAGATGAATTAGAAAATGATATAAAAAAAATAAAACAAAGTCTTTTTAAAAATATAAATTCACTTCAAAACGAACTTAGTGTAAATAAAATAATGTAAGAAGGTTAATATAATCAAAAAGTGAAAGAAAAAGTAATAATTATATAAAGATTTTGGAGAGAACATAAAAATTTTAAATAAAATAAAGAAAAGTTTTAATTATAAATATAAAAATTAAAATTAAAATTGTAAAAAATAAATAAATTATTTTTATGAATTTTTTAACAATTAGTAATTAATAATTAGGATAAAATCTTTTATAGTAAAACACATAATTTAAAAGTGCACTTGGATAATATTTATAGTTTATTGAAAAATTAATGGATGATAAAAGAAACGTAATTATATAATGTAAAAAATTTTATAATCTATATTAACAATAATAAACTAATAATGAAAAAGTAAATAAATTAAGATAGATTTATTTTTAATAAAAATATAGATTTAAATAAATCAAGAAGATTTAATAAAAAAATATGAAAATTTAGAATTAGAAAATTAATAATTAAAAATAAATATGATAAAAATTGAAAAAAAAATAGAAGAACTTTAAGAATAAGGATTCAATTAAGGTAATGAAAATTAGGAACTTAAAAATAAGGTTAATTAATTAGAATAATAAAAATAAGAATCAGAAAATTAAATAAACTATTTTTAGTAATTAATAAATTAAATTGCTTTTGAAAAAAATCAAATGGAAAATAAAGTTTAAATTTTATAATAAAATCACAAAAAAGAGATAAAATAATTATTATAATATCAAGCTAATATTATTATAAAAGAATAAAAAATATTAGAAATTATTAATATTAATAAAGTTATGAGATAAAGATATAAGATATTAAAAGAAGAAAATGAATAATTAAAATAATCAATTTAAATTTTCTAAATTTAAAATAATTTCTGTAAAAAAACATTGAATGGTATTTTCTTATAATTAAATATTTATATATATTTTTTATTAAATTTTTTTTTATAAATTTGATTATTATTCAGAAAAAGAATAATATTAAACACTGAGTAAGACAAGTTCAGAAAATTCTCCTCAATAAAAAGATTAAATATAAGAAAACAACCAAATATAATAAGAAAAACTATTGATTTTGCAGAAAAAATAAAAGTATTATAAAATTATTTTATATTAATAAAAAAAATAAAGGAAGAGAAAATAAAAACCTTAATAACAATATAAAATTTCAAGTAGATATTAAATTAATAATAAAATTAAAAAAACAGTTAAAACTGAAACAAAAAAATTAAATTTATATGTATTTAAAGATGTCATTATTAAAATTTATAATTATAAAGATATTCAACTTCATCTTATAAATAATAAAATAACACACAAGCACAAACCGGTTCATTTTCAACGTTCAAAACCTCCAATTTATATCTTGATTCAGGTTTATTTTCTTTATAAAATTTAACGATTTTTTCTAACGGATCATATTCAATAATAACCACATCATTTTTTGCAAAGGCAAATGATTTTATACAATTGTTTGCTTGTACTTAACTACTAGACCAACTTCCTGCATTTGAGGAAATCATATAAGCTCCATGTCCTAATTAATTGAATTAGAATCCATAGTTTTTTGCATGAATCACATTTTTAAGGCATACACCTATAGCTAACCAATTATTATTTGCAGCATTACCTTGTTTTATCCTTAAAGCTATTTTAGTAACTTTATTACTTGGAAATTCAGGTTCGATTAATGCAAAACGATAATTAGGAGAAGTTCCAGTAGATTTTACACTATTTTTATTTATAGTAGTTATTTAGGGGTGTTTTAATGTTTGTGAAAATTAAAATTTTAATAAAACGTCTATGTTTTAGATTTATTGTTATACTTAAGTATTTTAAACTTGATTTAATGCATCGAAATCTTTTTGGTATTTTTCGAGTTATTTGGAGAAGTCTTTTATTTAAAAAGAAATATTATTCTTTAAAGAGTCAGTATTCAAAAAAGAACAAGGATTATCGTTTTCATCATTATTTTCGGATTCTTCGAATTCACTTTATGGGAAAATATTTATTAGTCTTAAAAGGGAGTTCCTGAATAAATCTTCTTTGGATTCAAAATCGTATATGTTATTTAAAAGTTCGTTTATAGTGTTTTCATTTTGCTGTCCTTGAGTCAGAATTTAGTCTTTTATTTTGGAAAAAAACATTGCTTAATGCTCTTGGAATTAAGAAATGACTTTTTGGAAATTTTATTGGATATTTTCAATTTATGCTTTTGTATTTTTTTCTTGAGCTTCTAATTCACTCGTTATTTCGTCAATGTTTATGGGCTCTCGGCTTTTTTGTTTTGAAAGCTTTTTGAGAATTTGGCTAAGTACGATTTTTAAAGGCTTCCATTCTTGTTTTTTTTAAGGATTTTCTTCAGCACATAAGGCACATCCAAGTAAATCCTCTTTTTATGTAGATGATAAGAGGACATAATTTAATTTTTCGCCTTAATGGTAACCACCTTTTGTACATTCGGTGTATTCTAGCTTTTGAATTTGTGCACTTTTAGATTATTCTTGCATTTTATTTATATTATTAATATTTCTTTTTTTATTCTTATTTATTTTTATTTATTTAATATTTTTAATTTTTTTATATCATTTATTAATATTTATTTTATTTTATTTTAAGAATAGAGAGAAAAAATATATTTATTATTAAATAAATATATAAAAAATAATCATTAATTTAATTAACTTTTTCTATAAAAAATATAATTTTAAATTTCCTCATATAATTCTTTTTCAGGAATAAGATCGTTTTCTTCTAAAGGCTTTCGTGTAAACGGATCTTATTAGAAATTTACAATTTATAAAATGGCACTTTCTCTATCTACAATAATTCCACTATTTGGTAATTTTACAGGGTTAAGCATTATTTTATTCATTAAAGGATCTAAGTATTTTTCTGGTATATTTTGGTATAAAATATTATATTCTTTTTTTATTTTAACATATTTTTTTTCTATTATATTTTCATTAAATTATTTATATTTTAGCAAGAAGTTTTAGCAGATTTTCATTTACTATATTTTATTTGATATTTTTTAAAATTCTTCTAGTACAAAAAGATTTTCTTCTTCGAATATTCCTTCCAGAAAAATATCATTTTTGCCCAAATTCATCAGAAGGCTAACTAATACTTAAAAAACTTACGAGAATTGAAAATTACAATCCTTTTCTTCCATAACAACAGCCATATTTCCCAATTTAAAAAACGAATAATCCCAAAAACAGGTTATTTTGGTCAACATTTCTTTTTATAAAAACTTTAAAGGGCTAATCTAAGCTAATAATAGTAAATTATGTAAAAAAGAAGTAAAAATCTTCGATTCTTGAACTAATATTTTCTAGAACTTAGCAAGTTATGAATATTTAATTTATAAAATATTGGGATGTATTTAATTAGAATCTAAATTTTTGAAGTCTAGAATAAATTAAAGCTTTTTGAGAATTGAATCAACTAAAAAATGTAGATCAGAAAAATAAATATTAAGAAAACTTTAGAAAATCTAGACTGAAATATTTTAAAATTATTAACAATAGAAATTCCTATTATTTGATTTAGCAAAAAAATACAAAAGAACTTCCTAAAAGCTAATACGGAAGGAAATCCTTTCTTAAATTTAATGTTCTTGTAAATTTTCGGAATTAGTTCCTTTCAAAAAATCAATAAAAATACATAAAGTACTTTTTATTATTTCAAAAAAAACACTATTTTCATCCAAAAAAGATTAAAAAATTAAAACTTTTTGAACATATAAATGAAGCAGTTTCAATATTTTTTATCTAAAGTAAAAATTAGAGCATATTTATTTCTCTTACATAATTTTTTGTAAAAAAATAAATATTTATTGGAATTTCTATTTATTTTTTTCTATTAAATCCTTATCGTTAAGCTATATTATTAAAACTAAATATTCATATATGTCTTCAAGAATAAATAAAGGCATTTTTTAGTATTCTTAAGAATTTTCAGATTGCAAATAATTTAAAAAAGAAATTTAAAAAGTACAATAATTAACCAAAAAAGATTGAAAATCTTCACTTTAAAATAATATTTAATCTTGATATATTATATGAATGAAATTTTAGTATTAATTGTTTTATTTTGCTAGATAATAAAAAAAAAAAATTATATATAAAATAATATATATATATATATTTTGATATAAATATATATATTATATAATTATATAATTATATAATTATATAATTATATATATATATATATTTTACATTTAACAAAATTTTTAACTAGACTTTTCAAAAATGGTATATTTAAATGTACAAATGCTATTATAAATCTTAGTTTTTATTCCAAATATTAAGGAAATTATTTTTAATTTATTTCTAATTCCATTTTTTGTTCATTTAAACAAGTAATTTTTTCAACTTATTTAAAAAATCCGCATTAACAAGCTAACAAATCTACATTTATTTAATCTAAAAAATCATTTGATAGAAATTTTTCTATAGAATAATCTCTAAAAAACATATATGTTTAAATCCTTAAGCAATTAAAAATAAATGCGTTTGAGCAAGTTCTTTCTTATTTGTAAAATTTTAAAATACTTTTATTCATTTCTAGTATTTTTTCAAATAAAAAGTTATATTTTTCACCTCTTTTTTCCATTAAAAAATATAAAAAATCACATATTTTTACATAGTATTATTCTTCGAAGATTTCTTGGTAGTTTTTTTGTATTTAAATTATCTCTTTTTTAGTTTATGTGTTTTAGAAATACTTGCTTGCTTCTGCCCATTGCTCAGAAAAAACAGAAAAAGTTAAAACTCTGCCCAAAATAGTATTTGTTTATAAAAAAATGGGCTCTTTGAATTCTTCTGAGAAAAAAAAGGGACTTTCATTGACAAAATAATCCAAAACAAATTCGTTTCTAGCAAATATTTTTTACATAAATTCTAATAATATGTATATTATATCCATTTTATCGATTTAAAAATGATTATAAAGTCTATTGAAAATTCTTTTGAATAATTAATGAAGAAATTATTTATATTAAATAACATTTTGTTTTTCAAAATAAGGCAATATTATTTCTAAAAATATACTTTCTTGTAGATCTTTTTGTTCGAAAAGGTAACAAAAAAATTCGCTTAAATAAATGTTTTAGCAATCCCATATATCCTCTGGATTTTCTTTAAATTTTAATATGTTCTCTGGTAAATCTTCCATATCGAACAATAGTGTATTTAAATAATTCAACAAATATTCGTGAAATTCATCTTTTTCATCTTAATTTTTGAATAATTATTCTTTATTTTTCTATATTTCTTTTATTATTTCTAATATATATTAGACTCTTTTTTCAACTTTATCATATAAAAAATCGAAATCTTTGCTAAATAATATGTCGTTTAAAAAATAATCTTATATATCTTGTATTGTAATATATTTTTCATTTGTATTTTTGATTAGAATTTATTCATTTTCTGATAATGTAAAGTATTTTACGACTTTTTCATGATCATATTTGTCATTTATGCTTATTTTTAAAATTTTTTGGAGAATTTGACTTATTTGTTATGGAGTTTATTTAAACGAATTCTATTTTTTGTTATTTATTTTATTGTTTTTAATTTTTTTTATTTTTATTTTTATTTTTTTTAATTTTAGAATAGATTTTTCTTTTTTCTTCTGATTTTTTCATATTTTTTAATAATATTATTTTAGAAATTTAAGTTTCTATTATTTTAAAAAAAAAATTAAAATTTATTTTTATTAAATTATTTTTTATATTTAAGTAAATTAAAATTTAGTAATATTTTTTTATAATAATAATTTTTTCTAAATGCTTTTTATTATAATGAAAACCTAGACAATATCGAATAAAAATAATATATATAAGATTATATATAAATATTAATTTATTTTATAAGAAAATTTTAAATTGTATTAATTTTTTTAATATTATTAAAAAAAATATAAATTATTATTAATTTTATTGTTTTTATTTATATTGTATATTTATGTAATTTTATGTATATATAAAAACTCTACTTTATATTATATAATTAATTATTATAATATATATTTTCTTAAAATTTTTACATTTATTAAAAATATGAATTAAATTCTGATATTTTTATTAGCTTTTTTGATTTTGAAACTTGCTATTAGTGAAGACGATAATGATTGGTAATCATATTCTTTGGAATAAGTAAGAGCAGATTATTAGCTTTTTAGAATAAACATATATAGTCGATTTAATCTTCATTAAAATCCTTGCAATATAAATAATGATATTTTTATATGGAGTTTTAAGAAACTATTAAGCCTTGAACTTGATTAAGGGATGATCTATAAATTAATTTTTGAAGCTAGATAAAATAAATAAATAATTTAAAGTGAAAGAGAAATTGCTTTAACTATAATTGAAAATTATCCAGGATAACTTGAAATAGTAGAATGTTAGGAAAATGTATTTACTTGATATTTTCTTTAATATAAATAATATTTGTAATTGCAGCATATTAAAAAAATTAATAATTAATTATTAAATGATTATTAAAATAAATTAATATGTCACTTATTTTATTTATTTAATTTTTACTGTATTTTTAAAAAAATTCAACAATCAAAACGAATGAAATTATTTAATTTTTATAGCTTTATTTTTTTAAAATTATAGTTTAAATAAAAATTACAAAAATAAATTAAAAAAAATAAAAACAAAAAAAAATGAATTTTTATTTTTTTTAACTTCTAATAAGTATAATTATTATTTTTTATAAAAAGTAAATTAGTTGTATAATATTATGCATATTGTTTATTATGAAAAAAAATATATTCATATTTTATTTTTTTAAAATAATTATTTTTAGTATAAATAATGGTAATTTTTTACATATATATATAAACATAAATAAATAAAAAATATATAAATAAATTAAAAATATATATTGTTAATAAATTATAACCAAAAAATAATCATAATTAAATTTTTATTTTAAAAAAAATAGAATATTAATATTATTTATAAATTATTGTTATATATATATAAATTATAATATTAAATATTTTTTAAATTGAAAATATATTTTTTATTAAATATAAAAAAATTTATTTAATTAATATTTATTATAAATAATTATTAGATATAATATAAATAAAATATATTATTATATTATTTTTATAATCAATCTTTATTAATATATTTACTTAATTTAATCAAAATATTTATATTAATATTTTAAAAATATTAAATTATTAAATATAAAAATAAAATACAAATATAAATGAAATATATTTTTATTTTCTTTATGTAATTTTCATCTAAACTTATAATTATTTTCTTTTTTAATGTTAATTTATTATATCAATATTTTAAAATTTTTTCAATAATTTTTTATAAATAATAATATTTATTTTTTAAAAGTATAAAAATAGATTTCATTTTTTTAATTTTTATTTTTAATATTGTATATTTATATTTCTAAATTATATTTTATATTTTAATATTTAATTTATA